AACACTGGATTTATTCAGCAGAAGACAACTCAGCCGGGTGGAAATGTCGTTTGGCATTAAATGATCGGCTGACAACCTAACGTCGAGCTCCTCAGGTGAAAAAAGGAATAGAACCCTACTACTTCTCTGTCAGTTTTTTTTTTTTTTATTGAAAGCTCGTTCTATCTAAACCTCAATGTTGTTTATATATATGTTAGGGAATAATTAACACAATTGCATAACAACAAAGGTATGTAAATTACAAAATAAAAGTCCATACACTACGCTACTACATATATAACACACTCTATACATTATTTTTTATTAAGAAGTATGTATTGCATAAACATTTATTTATAATTTACTATAGTTATATTAGTTATCTAGTAGTATATAATCTAATATTTTTGTAATATTTACATATTTTTTTAAAATTTACATTTAGTTTGTAGTGTCATAAAGAAAAATCAGTGGAGTGAACCCAGGAGGAGCTCTGAACCTCAGACAGCATCAAACAACACTAACAAGATTTAGAACAGGCCATCTCAAGTATTTAGATAGAAAATCACAACAAAATCTACCCCACTTGCCCAAAATGTAGCTTGGCACCTGCAGCTCCAGAACACATTTTGACTTGCATTAGATGCACTAAACAGAACCTTTGGGAGAGACCACTGCTTATCATAAAACAGCTCGAGGAGCATGAACTCATGGAATTCGTGTAATCTTTACACAAGGGGATAAGAAACAACAACAACAACAAAGAAAAATTCGTTAGTTATACTATATTTATAGTTTCTTAGCCGAATGACTAGTTTTCGCCTTCTAGTCCATGCCGAGGGAATCTTTACTAGACAAGTACTATCTCACCAAATTTTGATATGAAAAATAGACACTTCGGCCAGTTAGAGTTTTTTATTTTCTCAACGTTTCGACAAAAATCTTTTGTCTTCGTCAGGAGAAGTAAATAAAAATAAGGCATTTGGCAAGGCGTTAAATAAAAAAGAAACTCATTGTGAGGAAATATTTTGTAATTTTAAAAGTTTTTCACAATTTCAATCATGAAATAAATAATTAGTTGATGAGGCTGTATTTTGTTTCCAGATTAGTATAGTAGTAGTATTGATGATGATGATAGATGAAACTATCCTTACATCATTATTATCATCTTTTTTTTTTATAATGTTACAGTTAAACCTGTTTATAGCTCCCCCTCTTGGGACTCACCAAATAGGGTGCTATAGAGAGGGGGTGCTATAGACAGGTTACTTTTAATGTAAATCGCATCGTACTACGTATTTAAAACCGGGCGCTATAGAGAGGGAGGCGCTATTTAGAGGGGGCGTTATAGACAGGTTTAACTGTATATCAAATTTGATTTCGAAAATATCTATATTGATATTGAGAGAGTGGGGATGTCTCTAGCTATGGATCTTTTTGATTGTTGCGTGTAAATCTTGCAGCTAAGTTTCGATGTGCAGTGATGGAACGGTGGTACATACACCACTGTCACCATCTGACCAGAGATGACATTCTGGAACATCTAACGGTGGGGAAAACGCGGCATACAACTATTTTTACAATCAAAAGCCGCATTATATTATATTGTATTATAAATTACTTTAATTATTATTTACGAACGGAAAAATATGTCCAGGGTAGCCTAGTGGACATGGCATCTGCCCCGTAAGCGGAACACTGTGGGTTCGTTTCCCATCCCTGGACACTTTTATTTTTCCGTTTATCATTACTCTTCACAATTCACTCTTTCATACCTCATCCTAAAGGTTAGAAATAATCGTTATTTCTCCTTAAAATAAATTTTGATTTTTGGTTGAAAAGAAACACATGCGGGATAGTTTTAAAATGTCGTTCTACTACTATATGTATTACAAGAGAAGGAATCGCCTGACATCATCTTGAGGGAGGAAAAAAAAAAGGTTAACGGCGACGTGTTTCTTTTATTAAAGCTGTGAATTCGGCAAGCTTTCGGACTTTGACGTTCTTCGATAGGCCTTCAGATGTTTTTTTTTTTTTTTTGCCTTTCCCTGCATCCTAAGGTAGTAATCCTTTTCTTTAGATGGCCCGTCGAAGGACGTAAAAGTCCGAAAGCTTGCCGAATTCACAGCTTTAAGAAACTGGTCGCCGTTAACCCTTTTTTTTCTTCCTTCCTCAACTAGACGTATCTCCATAAACCATATACTAAGTTTGAAAAAGTATTAATATAATATGAAAAATATTCAAATAAAAACATTAAGCCTCCAAGGAAAAAGTTTCTTTTAAAAATATATATATTTTTTTATAATAACGATTAGATTCGATAAGGATAAGTTTCTTTATTTTTAAAATTAATTCGAGCTTTCGGGCGCAAGCTGCCCTTATCCTTATCGAATCTAATCGTTATTATAATATATTGAAAGGATTATTCGTCTTAAATATATATATTTTTATTCAAAACTCAGATTTAGAACTCAATGTTCTGATTTTAATATTGATTCAAGGGATTATCGAATAATGTGAAAAATATTCACAAATAAATTATCGTAAGGTTTTTCTTATATTCTATTGGGAGCTTTCGCGCGCCATGCACTTTCTCAAACTGTAGTTAAAATGAATGGAAGATATAACAGCAATATATTGAATTTCAAATTGTAGAAAATTAGGACAGTTAAACTCTAGTCCGGTTAGATTCTTGTTCTTTGCGATAAAGGTAGAATTGGTAATCAGCATCTGTTACTTAGTCATAAATATTTATGATTATTAATGATTTTTTCGTAAAAATAGAGGTTGCCTGGCCGGAATTCATAGTTCTTCAAATTAAAGATACTTCGGCCAGTGAATCTTTTTATTGTCTCGACGTTTCGACATTAAATCTTTTGTCCTCGCCAGGAGCGAACAAAAATCAAAACATTTGGCAAAGCGTTAAAATTATTAACGAGAATAATTTTTAACGCTTTGCCAAATTATAAAAAAAGGCACGATAAGGAGATGCCTTTTTAAAAAATAATATATGTACCTTATCTCAGTACAATATCACATTTGTACTATTTTTTCGCCAAATGTTTTAATTTTTCTTCGCTCCTGACGAGGACAAAAGATTTTTGTCGAAACGTCGAGACAATAAAAAAAGATTTACTGGCCGAAGTATCTTTAATTTGAAGAATATTTTTTTTATTATTAACTCTCTCTTTACATACACAGCGCTCTAAATGGATGTTAAAAGTAAATTTATTGTGTGGCCATCAAATGGGAGGAGTCTTTTTAATCTCCATAAATTCATTTTTAATTTTAATATCCATTTAACCGGTTGGAAGTTTAAAAATATATAAATCTTTCTTGTCTAAAATGTGACAAATATGACAAATAAAAGGCTTTATTAAGACCTTTTGGTCTTATACAGATTCTCAGAGGACAAATGTAGGGTACATACAGCGATTGCTCAAGACCTCAAACGAGTTAGAAATCCAATATTCAGGTTCCTATTTAAAACCTCCTTGGAATTACCATGTAGGGGTACATACAGGAATAACACAGTAATTGTACCAGTAATCAACAATGTTATTTACAGTGTGTCAAATAAGGGAAAAAAGGAAAAACTTATTATAAACTTATTTACATATACAAACTTATATACAAGCAGTCGAGCACAAACAATTATTTTAATAAAGCAAATCTAAATAGACTTTTCAAATGAAAATTATGTAATAAATAATAGCGTGTCTTATTTGCAACTTATAATAAATAAATAAATGTAATTTGTGTGAGTTTATAAATTTATTTTAACTATATAAAATACAGAATTTCTATATTTATTCGAAATATTATTTCGTATTATCCTTTTATTTCAAAAGAGGGAATTCTTGAAATATAAAAGAGTATAAAAGAAAATGAAAATAAAATGATATATTTTCACCTACAACACAAAATGAAGTTCCAATATGTGTTTCCCTTATTTGACCATTATTGTTGACATCCGTTGATGTATTGTACCCATGGAGAGTATGTATATATGTTCCATTTATATGTCAATATGTACTATGCAAATAAACGCCGGAATTAGATTATTTTACCCCTTTCAAACCGCACACTTCGGAAAGAAATCATTTTGCATTTGGAAAATATAAATTGTGTCTAACAACATAAATTTTCGGGGGGTTGATATTCATGTGCTAAAAGAGGAATCTCTCTCGGTGAAAATACATTAAAACAATCCATCTTGTTTTTCAGGGGGTCGGTGGAAGGCTGGTTAAACCGTTTGGTTTTCGACCACTACGACCCGGGTTCGATTCCCGCATTGGACACTTTTTTCTGTTTAAAAAAAAAAATGCTCCAATGGCCCCCGATTCTTGCAAAAGTCCAACCCCACCAGCGAGTGCAAGTAACCAAACGGGGCTCTGGTACATTTGTAAGTGCAAAGTCGAACTGCTTTTCACATGTGTAGACATGTGTGCACTTACAGTAAAAACAGTCGCTAACTACCCACCATGATTATCATGACCTGTACCACGAGTACTAGGGATAAGCAAAAAAAAAAAGTTTTTTTAGAACGTGATTGCAATGATAAATAATGTGCCAGATAACCATCTTTGGATAATTAAGACAAAGGCCAACCTGTGTATACCATGGTTTCAAGCTTTAACCCTAATCAGTACATTTCGATTTCCATAACAAAATGAATTTTTAATGCAGTTTTTTTAAATGAAAAGTGCCTCTTTTTGTACAGGAATATTCTGTAAATCTATTATTTAAAAACTGTATTGAAAATGTTTAATATTGTCGTTTCTTCCATAACTCCCAGATACAGATATATATAAATATGCCAGCTTAGGAAAATTGTGCCGAAAGCAAGCAACAAAGGTTCGGGCTATGACGGCCTTCATCAGTACCGGGACGGCTGCGGGTTCTTAGAATCCTATGATAGAAGTAATGAGATTGAACAAATCTGTCAACAATGTGTTTTAGTTGATGAAGTGGTTGGTAAATACATTGCATATTTTCTGTAGAATGAAATTAATGTGCAAAAAAAATCACACCCATCCTCGTCGCCACTGTTGTGTCTCTACACTACACCAGGTCACCGAGATCCACTAAGTCTGAGATAAAATCTTTATTGGCTCATAACACTAATATGACTGAACTGAACTATTTACAAATTAATGATATATATATACATAAAAATAATTGACATAGTAACACAAACAAACACTATGCAAAACCTTATTTGCATATCACGACAATCCATCTAAACATAACTATTGTTATGCAAAACACCACACTATCTATTTTAACAAAGATGTATATTAGGTGATCATCTCTTTAACAACTTATTCTTCCGATCATTTAATATTTTGATATCGTCAGTCGTCTTTTTTTGAAGGAGACAGAGGAAAATTTGTTCACACTTTGTGATCTCGCGAATTTTTCTGGCGTTTTCTGATATTCCATCAGATTGTGGGAATAAACAATGTATAACTGTTGCACTGATGAGTTAGGTTGGACTTTTGCAACAAGTGGGGCAATTAGAAAGCACTTTATTATTAAAAAAAAAAAAAACTTCCCTAAATTTGATCACGAACTCGTGTTTGCTGATTGACAGTTTAAAACAACAGTTTTTAAACACCTTTTATCTGAAGCTAAAGGCTGAAGTGAATGATTTTTTGCACATGAATACCATATTCCTGCAGGTTTACCACAGTATTTATTGTTATTCAGTTTAAATTCTACGTGTCTCTAGGCACGAAGTTTTAGACAGCTTGTTGTTGTACCTTTAAATTCAGAAAGGTAGAAGGTGTGTCTAGAGCGGTGTCAGGGGAACAAGGAGGTGTCACAATAAGCTCTAAGTAACCGCGACATCTTGGCGAGGTTCCACGTCGACATTTGGCTGACTCGGCAGTCCTACACACTACTGTAACCTCAACGTTCTGGAGGTTTTATATCTAGTAGATATTCAAGAGACGATGTTGTGTACAAATAGAACGTTACCTTATTGTACGTGCGACGTAAAACTTCAAGGCTAGAGGAAAGAATCTTTGCAACGTGATTGGTCATCAACTCCTTTCCGTCGAAGGACGACACTCTGCACTACGCTGACGATGGCCAACAGCACGAAACGCATGACTTTTCTTGATTTAATCAATATTTGGGTTAGCCAAATATCATTGAAACAAGTTAAATCAATGTTTAGTTGATTTTTGTTCCACTAGATGGAGCTCTGCCATCTAAAATGCACATGTGAGCAGTCAGGATATGCCATTTTTGTTTTTAATAGCATTCTTTTCGTTGAAGACAGTCTTTTACCAACTTCTCGTCAGGAATCTTTGGTGTAGAGCTCTCTATCAAGCGGTCAAGGGTCAAATAACAACGACTAAACACCTTTTAAAGCAAAGAGTATCTTTATATAATTACACTCATGGACAAAACTTAAGAATGTTTCATATTTTGATGTCGCCGGTCTTATTTTTTTTTTTAGGGAGACTGAGGCAATTTTGTTCACACTTGGTTATCTCGTGTTTTCAATAAAGGTCACTGTAATATCTTTCAGAGTTATTGTCCCGATATACATGCTTTAGGTACAATTTCCTTTTGTCCATGGCTGTATGTTTATCTAGCTGTTTCGGACCAAGTTTATCCATCAACAGTTTCCGTACATAATAACGGCCTGGAAGCTCTCTAAACATAATTCAATAAATAAACATTTCGATTTAAAAGGTTTCGCTAATTATATC